GTCTTTGATGGAAGGAGCTATGGTGGTTGGAGAAGGTCTGTCATTATAGCACTCTCTGCAAAGAACAAACTAGGGTTCATTGATGGATCCCTAGGTGTTCCTGCTGATGATGTGTTTCTTCAAAGGGCCTGGACAAGATGTAATGATATGGTCTTGTCTTGGTTGCTCAACTCCCTCTCCAAGGAGATTGCTGAATCTATTTTATATTCCAAAAGTGCCAAAGTTCTGTGGTCTGACCTGGAAGATAGATTTGGTCAGGCTAATGGTGCTAAATTATTTTAACTTCAGAAAGATTTAAGTGCTGTTACTCAAGGAAACTCTAGTATTTCCACTTACTTCACAAAAATGAAGAGTCTATGGGATGAGTTAGATGCCTTAAACACCTTTTCTGCTTGCAACTGTGAGTGTGTGTGTGGTGCCAAAGAAAAAGGTGTCAAAGCTCATCATGATGAGAGGCTGCTTCAGTTCCTTATGGGACTGAATGATACTTTTATAGGGGTTAGGAGCAACATTCTGTTGTCCTCCCCTCTTCCTACTATTGGTCAAGCTTATTCACTAGTGATTCAAGATGAAAAACAAAGAGAAATACATACTACCCCTAATTACCCAATAGATTCTGCATCTTTCCTTGTTGGTAATGAAGGAGAAAGGAAATTCAATAACTATAAGGCTCAAACAAGAATTCCTACCAAGAAAAGTAATCTGGTGTGTAATTACTGCAAGAAAATAGGCCATACTATTGATCAGTGCTACAAGATACATGGTTTTCCTGAAGATTTTAAGTTTACTAAGACTAAAAGGTACCAAAAGGGAGCTATGGTTAACAATGTCTGCAACACAGGTGAAGACAGTCAACATGGAGTTGTACACACTACAGATGTCATGTCTTTATCTCAGGATAATGTAGCACAACTTCTGCAACTTCTGCAGAAAATCAATCAAAAGAACACAGGAACTACTGATGCATCTGCAAATATGACTTGTAGTGGTATGACTAAATTCTTCAATTCTCATGCTTGTATGATTAAAGTTGATAGTAATTCTTGGATACTAGATAGTGGAGCATCTAAGCATATGACTTTTGATAGAAATTTTTTTTCAAGTTTCAACTCTTTATCTAAACCTATTATGGTAACTCTTCCTAATTCTCAAAAGGTTAAAGTTACTCATTCAGGTTCTGTATGTCTTTTATCTGATTTAACCCTTCAGAATGTCCTTTATATTCCTTCTTTCAGGTTTAATCTTGTATCTGTTCATAAATTGTGTAAACAGTTTCAGAAATACCTCTTATTCACTCCTGACACTTGTCTCATGTTGCAGGGCCCTTCAATGAAGAGCCCTCAGGTGATTGGTAAAGAGCAAGCAGGTCTATACATCCTCAACTCAAGTCAACCTGATGTGTCCAGAAAGAGTCTTTCTAGTACTAGTTTCCCAGTTTCAGCAACAAATGTTTTTACTTCCTGTTCTAGTTTTTTTTATTCTAATGTAAAAGAAAAGCTATGGCACTACAGGCTAGGCCATATACCTTTGAGTAATATGAAGAAAATTTTTCCAGTTTCTATACCTTGTTCTAAATTTTCTTCTCCTTGCATTATCTGTCCCATGGCAAGACAATCTAAATTGCCTTTTTCCACTAGTAATATCACTACTAAAGCTGTTTTTGACTTGATTCATGTGGACACTTGGGGGCCTTATAATTCTATTACACATGATGGTTTTAGATACTTTCTCACAATTGTTGATGACTTTAGTAGAGCCACTTGGACTCATCTTTTAAGTACTAAGTCTAATGTTTTTCCTATTCTTAAATCTTTTCTCTCCATGGTTAAGAGACAATTCAATTCCAAAGTGAAAGTCATCCGGACTGATAATGCTTTTGAGTTAGGAAATGGGAAACTTCATACAGATTTCTTTCTTTCCAAGGGTATTATACATCAAACCACTTGTGTATACACTCCACAACAAAATGGCATAGTAGAGAGGAAACATAAACATTTACTAGAAACGTCTCGAGCCCTTTTGTATCAATCCCATCTTCCTATTTCTTATTGGGGGGAATGTTTGCTGACTGCCACTTATCTCATTAATAGATTCCCTTCCTCTGTTCTGCATTCTAAAACTCCTTATGAAATTTTGTTTAAAACCAGTCCTACCTACTCTCATCTCAAATGTTTTGGTTGTTTGTGTTTTGTTACCACTCTCCCTACTCACAGAACCAAATTTGACCCTAAAGCTGTACCTTGTGTTTTTATAGGTTATCCTTATGGCAAAAAGGGATATAAAGTTTTAAATCTAAAAACCAAGAAAATCTCAATTTCAAGGGATGTTATATTTCATGAAGAATATTTCCCTTACTCCTCAAAATCTGATCCTAATTTAGTTCCTTCTACCACCTCTTTGTCCACTGACTTATCTTCAGATTTTCCTATTATCTCTTCTGAACTCACTCATGTCACATCAACCTCTTGTGACATTCCCACTCCTTGTGATCATGAGATTTCTTCTACTCCTGTTTCTTCACATTCCCAGAACACTGAATACACATCTATTGATCCTACTGCTATGACTGATCCTACTCATGGTTCTCTCCCATCTTATTCTGCTGAATCAGAACCTGTTCTACAAACTGTAATTAGGAAGTCAACTAGACATCACAAGGCTTCTGGTTATTTAGAAGATTATATATGTAGTGCTCTTCATCTTACAAATGTTTCTGCTGCTTGTTTTCTTAGTCCAGTTACACCAGAGTCCTTATCTTTTAGTGGTTTGTCTACTATCAATCAAGTCTTGCTTAACTCTATTTCTAGTATACAAGAACCTATCAGCTACATTCATGCAGCACATCACCCTGGATGGCAGGAGGCAATGGATAAAGAATTAGAGGCTTTAAGGTTCAACAACACATGGGATGTTGTTATTTTGCCTGTTGGAAAGAAAGCTCTCCCATCTAAATGGGTTTATAAGGTGAAACATCATTCTAATAGGAGTATTGAAAGATTAAAGGCACGATTAGTCATTAGGGGTGATATTCAAAGGGAAGGTGTTGATTACAATGAGACTTTCTCTCCGGTGGTAAAAATGACTACTATTAGATGCATTTTGGCTGTTGCTCTCAAAAAAGGATGGGGTATTTTTCAATTGGATGTGAATAATGCTTTTCTACATGGGGATTTAAATGAGGAAGTTTATATGAAGTTTCCTGCTGGTCTTACTCCTCCCTCTCCACATCATGTTTGTTTGTTGAAGAAGTCCATTTATGGACTTAAGCAAGCATCCAGACAATGGTATGCTAAACTTACCTCAGCTCTTAATTTTAAAGGTTTTAGTCATTCCCTAAATGACTATTCTCTTTTCTTTAAGAAATCTGGTACCTCTATTTCCATTGTGGCTGTGTATGTGGATGATATCTTATTGACAGGCAACAATGAAGCTGAGTTACTTTCTTTAAAACTATTTTTAGACCAAGAATTTAAAATCAAAGATCTTGGCAATCTACATTTTTTTCTTGGTATGGAGGTTATTCGGGAACCACAAGGTCTGATTATATCACAAAGGAAGTTCACTGTGGATCTTCTTCATGAGTTTGATTCATTGCACTTATCTCCTGTTTCATCCCCTCTGGATCCTACTGTTAAATTGATGACAAATACAGGTGCTACTATCAAACATCCTACTTTGTATCGCCATTTATTAGGTAAATTGAATTACCTCACTCATACGAGGCCTGATCTCTCCTTCACAGTCCAGCATCTCAGTCAATTTATGCAGGACCCTCGTGAACCTCATCTATTTGCTGCTTTAAGGGTTCTTCGATACTTACTCAAAGATCCAGGACTCGGATTGTTTATGTCCGCCACTTCTTCTTTCAAGTTGCTCGCTTTTTGTGACTCTGACTGGGGTACCTGTCCAGATTCACGAAAGTCAGTAAGTGGATACTACATTTCACTGGGGTCTTCCCCCATTTCTTGGAAATCTAAGAAACAGACTTCTATTTCCCTCAGTTCTGCGGAAGCTGAGTATAGATCCATGAGAAGGGTCGTTGCTGAGCTTACCTGGTTGGTTCGTTTGTTTGAAGATCTTTCCATTCCCATTTCCTTGCCGGTGCCACTTCATTCCGACAGCCTTGCCGCGATACATATTGCAAAAAATCCCGTCTTTCATGAACGGACGAAGCATGTCGAGATTGACTGCCATTTCGTCTGTCAACAGTACCTCGTCGGCCTTATCTCCTTGTCCTATGTTCCTTCCGCCTCCCAGTTGGCTGACTTATTTACCAAATCCCTTACTGGACCTGTCCATCATTCTCTTTTACACAAGTTGGGAGTTTCTTCCACCCCTCCAACTTGAGGGGGGGTGTTGGAATGATATGATCGAAGGCTGTCTGTTTCTCTGGGCTTCACGTTTTTGGGCTTATGCAGTTTTGTTTTCTTTTGGGCCTATTTTCATGTACATATCAGAGAAAGCCCAAATCTGTAAATACAAAGCCTTTATTTCATTAGTTTGTTAGTAGGCTAACAAGTTAGAGTTAGACACCTGTATAGTTTGTTACAAGAAAGATTCTTCATTACTTGTATAAATACGTAGGCTATTGTACAAAGAATTCATTCAGAATACAACGAAGGAAATTTTTACACTGGTCTTCTTATGTTTTTACAAATAGACTCTTAATAGGCAAACATTAAAGGGAAATTATTAAATTAGCTTAACCCTAATTCATAAATGAATATGGAAATTTGTATGTTCTTCGTCCTAAATTAATACTAGTTATTTTTATTTACAAAATCATGCATTGATGTTTTAATTTTAGAAATGTCAATACAGTTAAAAAGAGTAGTTCTTACTAGTAATTTTAAAGTAAATACTTAATTATTTTGAGTTAAAACTATAATTAAAATTGTACAAAAGAAAATCCATGGCACAATGATTACATTTCAAACAGCTCTGAAAATATAAAGTTAGAATTATAGGCTAAATTAGCGGTGTTCGAGGTTGTCGTGGACCCCATTCTTTGTGTGTGGGTAACGAGCTGTCATCTCCAACTCCTCGACAGACTGTTTCCTACCCCCCACGAAATTCACTTCTTATACATATAAACCCTCACTACTACCACCATTTTCACCATTACCAAGCATTTCTTCTTAACCCCCATCACTTAAAAATCCATTCTGTAAGTCTTTTTCATTACTGGGTATCAGAAATTTGATCGGAAAATCAAGAAATGGCTGAGGAAACCAAGAAAATAGCTGAAGAAACGATCCCTGAAGTGGTCGTTTCTGATGTTACAGTGAGGGAGACACCTCAACCTGAGCCGGAAAATGTGCCGGAGTCACCGGAGAAAGTTGCTGCTCCGGACACTGGAGAATCGAAGGTTGAGGATGAAAAGGAGAAGGAACTTGTTGTTGAATCCAATTCGTTTAAGGAAGAAAGTAACAAGGTTGAAGAACTTCCTAATCCTGAACAAAAAGCATTGGCGGAATTCAAACAGATGGTTCAAGAAGCTCTTAACAAGCATGAATTCACTGCCCCTCCTCCTCCGCCGCCAGCAAAGGAAGAGGAAGAGAAGAAAGCAGCCGTTTCCGCCGATGCCCCTGCTGAGGCACCGGAGGCAGAGCCAGTTACAGAGGCGGCAGCGGCGGCGGCACCTGAGCCAGTGATAGAGGCAGAATCCGAGGCTGTGGCCAAGAAGAAAGTTGAAACAGAGGAATTGGAGAAAACAGAGGAGAAAGTAACTCCACCGGAAACTGAAGCAACTCCGGCACCGGCATCAGAGACACCATCGGAGACAGAGAAGGTGGAGGCAGTCGAAGAAATCAAGGAAACAATTGTTGAAGTACCGGCTGCGGTTGCTGTGGTGGCCTCCACGGAGGAACCACCGGCAGCAGAAGCAGAGGAACCAAAAACAGAGCAAACTCTTCCACCACCACCACCACCAGAAGAAGTATCCATATGGGGAATTCCCCTTCTAGCAGATGAGAGAAGTGATGTAATCCTTCTCAAGTTTCTTCGAGCAAGAGATTTCAAGGTGAAAGAAGCTTTCTCCATGTTGAAAAGTGTTGTCGCATGGAGAAAAGAATTCAAAATTGATGAAGTCTTGGATGAGAAAGAATTAGGACAAGGACTTGAAAAAGTTGTTTACAATCATGGAGTAGACAAAGAAGGTCACCCTGTATGTTACAATGCATTTGGTGAGTTCCAAGACAAAGAATTGTACCAAAACACTTTTGCTGATGACAAGGAGAAACTCACCAAATTCCTCAGATGGAGAATTCAGTTCATGGAGAAGTCCATCAGGAATCTTGATTTTAGCCCTGATGGCATCAACACTTTTGTTCAAATTCTTGATCTGAAGAATTCACCTGGACTCTTCTTTTACAAGAAAGAACTTCGCCAGGCCACCAATCGTGCCCTTCTATTACTCCAGGATAACTACCCTGAATTTGTTGCCAAGCAGGTACCTTTTTTGTGTGTATATAACTTGAACTCTTTTTATATTGTTATATGATGTTGGTATTTAGATATTAACTGAATTTTGATGTTATGGTGTGAAGGTGTTCATCAATGTTCCATGGTGGTACCCAGCTTACTACAGGATGATTAATGCATCTTTCACTACAAGGACCAAGAGCAAGTTTGTTTTTGCTGGTCCTTCAAGATCTGCTGAGACTCTTTTCAAGTAATTACTTCTAATTTAGCCCCTTTTATAACTTATATTTGTTTGGATTGAGCAAATTCTGATTTGTGCATGTTTATGAAAATTCAGATACATAGCACCTGAACAAGTACCAGCACAATATGGTGGACTCAGCAAGGAGGGTGAACAGGAATTCACCACTGCTGAACCAGCCACTGAGGAAATCATTAAGCCAGCTTCTAAACAAACCATTGAATTCCCAGTTACTGAGGTATGTGTTCAGTATTTGTTCACACTTGGTTACATAATTGTATTGCTGTCAGATTTGTAAAGTGTGTGACCGTCTCATGTTAGCTTAAATTATTAGTCAAAACACACTTTTATTATAACTTGAGAATCGAGCCGGGAAACACTTCTTAGTCTGCTATCATATTTAACTATTTGATCATCTCATACAAAAGCTTAAGCTAATAGATCTGAACTCCAAAAATGTACTACTTTTTGATGGATCTAACATGCACCCGGTGAAGAAGTCTTGCAACATAGTTAAAAAGAACATATTTTTATTTACTTAATTATATCTATGAGTGAATTGCATTTCATTTGTTGAATTTTTTAACTCTGTGTTGATTGTGTGAAAATGTTGGATTTTACAGAAGTGCACATTGGTGTGGGAAGCTAGAGTGACAGGTTGGGATGTATCATATGGAGCTGAATTTGTGCCAAGTGCTGAAGGTGGATACACCATTCTCATAGAGAAATCAAGAAAAGTTGGGGCAAATGAATCAGTAATCAGCACTAGCTACAAGGCAAGTGAAGCAGGCAAAGTGGTGATCACAATTGACAACCAAACTTCTAAAAAGAAGAAACTTGTTTACAGGTCCAAGAACAAGCTCTCAGATTGCTGAGCTTTTCTTTTGTTGTTTCATAGATTTTTCTTTTGGGGGTTCTATGGTTGATATCAACTAGTATTATTATTTTGAGTTTTTTGGGGGTATTTATTTATATTTTATTGGGGTTATTTTTGAAACTATTTTGCTGTTGGATTGTTTTTTAATTATATGGGGAACATTACAAAGGTGTTGAGATGTGGACAGAACCTTTGTTGGAAGTACTAGTTATTGATACATTTTCTTCTGAAATATTTTGTGTAAATCTAATGCTGCCTGTCATTTTCCTTCCCTTTTTTTGGTGATGTGAAGCTTAACGTTAGTTAATATATGCTTTTGTTTCTTATATTTTGGTCCATTCTCATAAGTTGTTCATTTTTCTGTCTTTATGTGAAAAAAATGATCCCAAATTGTGATATTTTTATATTAGGGACAAAAGGGGTTCTAGTGAAATATTCCATGAGGATTTTACTTTTTAGTGTCGAGGGGTTGTTCAGATAATAACACCTTACTTCCATTCATTGCAATGAAATTCGAGTCAGTAAGTGAGCAAACTCATGACCTTTGGATTGGAAGCGAGAAGTGTTTATCATTTGAGCAATTTCCTGTCGTCAAAATAAGTTATTATCTCATTTTCTGATTTGTCTCGAATTTAGAATTTACTTATGTGGGTCCAAAAGATAAGGTAGTACAAAGTTTTAGCCCAGAAAAGGTCCAACATTGTTCCGTAACTTTGGACAGAGATTCAAAATCGTCTTTTATCTGTAAATTAAACTTAAATATAGTCTTCACCTTTTATCCAAACTGCTTTATTTTCATCCTCAAAATATGTGATGTTTTCAACTTAGCACTCCAACACACTCAAATTTAAGGTAGTGCTACACTGACAACGACAACATATATTCAATATTCATATTAATAATATTAAGTTCTGACTAAATTTAAGCACACATTGAGAAGTGCTCGCGAGTTTGACTTTCAATGAATTCTATTACATAAAACATTTCACTCCCTAATTAACTATTTGAAAAAAGAGAAACTAGACCATGATTTGATGGATATATATATATATATTATATATATGATATATCACTCTCTAATTTAGCAATGACTCTGAAAAATAACACAAAAAATGTAGTAGTATCTGTCAAGCATTTCCCTTTTTTAAAAGCATTCTCTTTTCGAAAAGAGGAAAAGATTACACCAAAAAAAAGTCTGGAAAATTATTGTTACAGCACGTAAAGCAAGTATTTGTATGAATATATTTTTCTTTTGCAACAAAGTACTACTAGTTTGTTTAGTTGCTTTAGTTTATTGTTGAACCTGCAAAAAAGGTTGGTATTAAAGTGAGGTTCTAATCATTTTACCCACCAACTTTACATTTAGTAATAATAAAAATTAAAGAGTTTTAGGTTCTTCCATCATTATCAATGAGCAGGTTTTAGATGTTTCTCAATTATTTTTCTTTTAAAAAAAAGTAATATCAATGGCCCCAACAATAATGTTATTAGAACATTTCATAATCCAAATTGTTCTCTAATCCAAAGACTTTTGGTCGATGCTGAAAATTGAAATCTCTTGACTTTAATTGTGCCTAACTATATGCTGATGATACATATTCAAAAGGGACCGGATACGAACTCACAGTATAGAGAATATGCCTATCGTGTTATTGCGAAATTCATTTTTCTGACTTTTAAGGAATTTATTTTCTTAGAGCAATGCTTTGATCGATCAAATATGAAATATTGGTATTCTTCTGCATAACAATCACACCCTCAATATTGTCCAATTATGATTATCATAAACCTAGAGTAGGAATGTTTATTAATTAGCCATAACATAATATGATAGTTGTGATCTATATACACTATATCCTTTCTATACCTTACTCGTGAGATATCATCAAGTATGTTGTTCTTGTATAGGTGATAACATTTTATACAAAAATACGGAAAGGAATATTCATTGGCGTTAATGAAAATATCAAGTGTGAATATCTTTTTCTTTTTTTTACCACTGTAGATACGGTCGATTTATTTATATAAAAAGAAGAAGAAGAAATGATGGAAGAATAAGAGGGAGAGCATGCTAAGGAAAAATCTTCAATTGATAAAAGGAATTGCTCCTACTTTTAGTAGACAATTTTGATAAGGTGGCTCCCAGATTAATTAATTATATTAAATAAACAATTATAATGTAGACAAAAAAAGAGTCTGAGATTAGAGGACCAAAACCTACTTAGTTTACCAGCAATAGTTACGTAGGAATAATATACATAAAATTTGATCTTATCCAAACATTTTATTGATTAATTTGTTCAGTGTCTACAACTAAATATCTGACAATACTTTCATTGACCAATCTTTCAAACTTATCTAGTTCAAACTTTTTTCTATTTTCAATTTTATTTATTTATTATTCTAAAAAATATCTTTTTAACTTTTATTTTAATATCATTAAAAGATTTTTTTTTTCATATTTTTATTTCAATTAACTTATTTTTCAAATTATTTTGTAAATCATGAATATTGCACTAGAATGAATTTCCCATTCCAAGGTTTGTGTCCACAAGAATTCAGGAGGTTTCATTGAAACAAAGAACGTTTTCTAACGACGTTTGTAAATAAATATTAGTACTGTGATTTTAAGAGAATCGTTTCCTTAATCATTTTAATTGGACTTTAAATTAGTAATGTATACAAACAATTTTGGACGGTTGTTGTAATTTTGGTTATATGGATCAGGTACATGTTAGTTTATCAGCATCTCGATTATTTAACAATTTACAGGCGGCATAAGTTGTTAATATAGAGAAAATTTCAGCAATAATAATTAATAGACATGATCCTCTATAGTTATAGTTTCAATAATTGCGCTTCATAGCTGTTTGCTATGCCTCGAGGCTGTGGTTTGTATATATTTCTGACTTTTATATATAGAAATTTTGTATTTATACATTTAAAGAGATGTGAGATGAAAAGAGATATATATGAAAGTGAGAGAGAAGAGAGGAGAGATGAAAGATGAGACATGATTTAAGATATGAGAGGTGTGAGAGGCTCAGAGGTGATATTAGATATGAAACTATATGAGAGATGAGATAAAAAGATATATGATATGAGATGTATGAGATAAGATGAGTGAGATGTGAGATATGAAATATGAGAGATGAGAGATGAGAGAGATGTGAGATGAGATGAGATATGAAAGATTAGAGATCAAGATACGAGAGATGAGAGAGATAAGAGATGAGAGAGATGTGAGATGAGATGAGAAAAGAAAGATGAGATGAGATAAAAAAAAAGACGAGATGAGAGAGATGAGATGAGTGAAATGAGATAAGAGAGATGAGAGATACAATATGAGAGATGAGAGATGAGATATGAGATAAGATGATAAATGAAAGATGAGATGAGAGAGACGAAAGAGATGAGATGCTCTGATATAAGAGATGAGATATGAGATATGAAAGATGAGAGATGAGATGAGATGAGAGAGATATGATATGGAAGATGAGAGATAAGATGAGTGAGATGAGATGGGATAAGAAAGATAGTATGAGAAAGATGAGAGTTATGAGATTGAGATATGAAATGAGAATAAAAGATGAGATGAGAGAGTAAAAAAGATGAAAGAGATGCGATATGAGATATGAAAGATGAGAGAGATAAGAGATAAGATATGAGAGAGACGAAATAGATGAGATGAGAGATATGATATGAGATGAAAGATGAGATCAGAGATGAGAGATGAGATAGATAAGATGAGTGAGACATATACGATATGAAATATGAGACATTAGATGAGATGTGATATGAAAAATGAGATATGAGAGATGAGATAGGAGATATGATATGATGAGGTATGGGATGAGTTATTAGATGAGATATTAGAAATTAGATAAGATATTAGAGATGTGATATGTATGAGATATGACAGATGAGAGAGAGATGAGATATCAAATATGAGATGTGAGATATGAGATATGAGATGACAGATGAAATATGAGAAATGAGATGATAGATGAATATGAGCTATGAGATGATATGAGATATGAGATATGAGATATGAGATATGAGATGAGAAATGAGATATGAAAATATGCTATGAGATATGAGATGAGAAATGAGATGATATGAGATTAGATATAAGATGAGAAATGAGATGATATGAGATGTGAGATGTGAGATATGATATGAGAGATGAGATTATATGTGATACGAGAGATGAGATATGAGATATGAAATGAGAAATGAAATATGATATGAGAAATGAGATGATATGAGATATGAGATGAGATATGAAATATGATATGAGAAATGAGATGAGAGATGAGAGATGAGAAATGAGATGAGAAATGAAATGATATGAGATGAGAGATGAGAGATGAGAAATGAAATGATATGAGATATGAGATGAGAGATGAGATATGAGATGATATGAGATATGAGATGAGATGAGATGCGAGATGAGATGTGAGATGTGAGATGTGAGATGAGATGAGATCTGCAAGATGAGATATGAGATGATATAGGATTAAATATGAGATGAGAAATGAGATGATATGAGATTAGGTATAAGATGAGAAATGAGATGATATGAGATATGAGATGAGATGAGATGTGAGATGTGAGATATGAGATGAGATGAGATCTGCAAGATGCGAAATGAGATGATATAGGATTAGATATGAGAAATGAGATATGAGAAGAGAAATGAGATAATATGAGATTAGGTATAAGATGAGAAATGAGATGATATGAGATATGAGATGTGAGATGTGAGATATGATATATGATATAAGATATGAGATATGAGATGAGATATGATATATGAGATGTGAGATGTGAGTTGTGAGATATGAGATATGATATATGATATATGATATGAGAGATGAGATGATATGAGAAATGAGATATGAAATATGATATGAGATATGAAATGAGAAATGAAATATGATATGAGAAATGAGATGAGATGAGATGAGAGATAAGATATAAGAAATGAGATGAGATATGAAATGAGAAATGAAATATCATATGAGAAATGAGATGAGATGAGAGATGAGATATGAGAAATGAGATGAGATATGAGATATGAGAAATGAGATATGAAATATGAGATATGAGAAATGAGATATATGATGAGATGAGAGATGAGAGATGAGATGATATGAGATATGAGATGAGATATAAGATATGAGATATGAGATATGAGATGAGATGATGAGATATGAGATGAGATATAAGATATGAGATATAAGATATGAGATTAGATATGAGATGAG